AGCCCATACGCATATACATATTTATATTGGGCTTATATGAGCTCGTACATATAATGAGCCTTTTTTTTAAAAAAAAAAAAAACGATATTAAAATTATCATTGCTCAAGATAAAAGAAGTACATCAATGAGAGACTAACTAGTCCCAATACAAAGCCAGCAACACTAACAAGGATCTCCTCCCTAATCATCTAAAAAATCCATCAACAACAATCTAATGCTACCAAAGATAAAATCCAACACATCAAAAGAGAAAAAACACAGACTGCACTATAAAATAGAAGCTGGAAGCAGCACAAAGAGCTGGATCATCAAGCTTGATCAAATGCAATAGCCCAATCAAAACCCAAATCCACATCATAGGAGAATGATGCCACAACCCACCTGCACCACTGAACCATAGGACCTAGAACAAGTGTTTGTACCATGCTTTAAAGTTCCCTAGCTGCTAAGAATTCCCTCCACTCTTTCCAGGCAAAGTTAACCGTAGCAATTTAAGGCATTAGAGTGTGTTGGAACTTCCAAAGATTGTGTGTTTTCCACAGCCACCAAAGTAAATAAGTGGTGATCTGTATTCTATCTTCAGATATTTGCTTTCTGTCCACCATACACACATTACTCCACCAAGCTCTGAACCTTATTGTATGCTCATCCATCCCTTCCCAAGACAATGGTGCTAACTTCCATATCTTTTTAGCTCGGCTGCAATGCAAAAGAATGCGTTCAACTGTTTCTTCCTCTTCACCACAGCTGCAGCAGATTGTGTCCACTAGAATTCCTCTTTTCCTCAGGTTACAGCTAGTAGGTAAAGTATTATTCACACATTTCCATAAAAAGTGTTTGAGCTTCCCCTTCACTTTCCAGCTCCTGGCTCTTATTTGTTTCATTCTTTCTGTAGAAGAGCTACTATCTGTAACACCAATGGCTTCCAACTTTTTCAAGACTAGGCAGTTGTATGTCTTACTCACAATGAAAGTGCCTTTTGGATGCAAACTCCACACCCATCTATCTTTATGACTCTGATTTAGGCTCTTGATCTGCAATATAGCCTTCACATCCTCCTCAGTGAATAAGTCCATCAAAAGGCTTTTATCCCAGCTATCTCTCCCCACTGTTTTTAGTTGGTTAACAGTTTTCAAGTGGCAAGTGACTTCCCTTTTCAGTTGAGGTCTCCCTGAGTGATGATTAGGGATCCATGGATCAATTAGGATATTAGTAGAAACACCATCCCTAATCTGGATTCTAAAATGCTGCTAGTATTGGTCTCTGACTCTCATCCAGTTCATCCACAACCAAGACACTGAAGAAGATTTTTTAGCAATGAGAATTGAACCTTGGGGAAAGTATTTACCTTTCAATACTTTACTAACCAAAAGATTTGGATGAGTTAGAATTGTCGAGATCTGTTTAAGAATAAAGGATTCATTAAACAATTTCAGATCTTTGAAACCTACCCCACCTTTATCCTTTGGAACAGCCATCCCACCCCAAGCTTTTCAATGTATTCCAGCAGATCGCTCCAGCCCTTTGTTCCACCAGAACTTAGCAGTTAGTTTAGAGATTTCATTGCAGATGCCAACTGGTAAACAAAAACATGACATTGAGAATATTGGCAGTGCATCAATTACTGCCTTAATGAGTACTTCCTTGCCTGCCTCTGATAAGAAATTAGACTTCCAGTTCAGAGATCTACTAGGTATCTTGGCCTGCCTCTGGGGATTGGGAAATCTAAATTGGAGGCCTTCACATAATATAGTAATACATACGTAATGAATCAAATGTGACTACGTAGAGCCCAGTAATTATTATATTTGATGGCTTTGATTGATATTTGTTTCGTCAGCAATTATTGTGTCTGCCGCGGTGGAATCTTTATGATATCCGGGTCGGATTGGCAACATTGAATTTTGCTCAATTCGGACGTAGACAATCTTGATTTCTGTGGACTCGATCAATATTAATAAATCACCTCGAAGAACCTGTTATTTTATATTAATTTAATACATGTCCATGTGAGCATTTTTATTAATCGAGGCCAAATTAGATATCAATATAACTATATATTAATATTTTATTATTTTTATATTGCATCAGCTTTAATAATTATATATATTTTTTTTTTATCAATGCACAATCTAAAAAAAATGTGTTTTACAAATAAAGTTTCACTATTTCATAAGTATCAACTTTTCAAAGAATCTTATCACCGTATCTTTTGATTAAGTTGTTTCATAAATAACAATTTTTTCACTAATTCATGTATGCCACTTGCATATTTTCATAGCCAAATGACATACTTTAAATTTTTATAAATAAAGGTGATGTTTTATAAAGTATTACATATTAATTATTGCTCATGCCTTAGTGTCCTTTGAAAAGGTTGGCCAACTTTCTCTTGCCATCTTTTCCAAATCCGTCCTCTCCATACCCCCCCGTCCTGTAATTGATTTGCACCTTCTCTTCGGCTGAAGATCTGCGATCCCGTGGCGTCAATCGACGATCGGGTGGGCTCATGCTTCAATATTCTTGAAGGGCATCGTTTCTTTTCCTGCGTGGTTTTTGCCTTCCGGTCGCTATGTCGGTGTTGGGATCCAATGTTTCAAACTTTCAACGTGGATTTTGACGTAGTAGATGCAGATCGTCGTCTTGCGGTGGCCAGGGTTGAAGTTGGTGCCTTGGACTTTCCCTGTTTTGGCCTATCCTTGGTGTTGGGATGGCGGGTCCCTCCGACAGAGCGATGCTATAATGTTGCGGATTTAAGTCTATGCGTGGGGCGGGTTATGGTGGTGAACTCTGGAGGAGAGAGCTTTAGTGTAGTTATTAGTTGTTTCCTTGTGCTTTTTGTTTGTTTATAGTGTTTTGTGTATTTCTGTGTTTATTTTTGCCTGTTGGGAGTTTTATTTTTAACTTGTAGGAGCTTTTCAATTTTTCTGTTTTGGTTGGTGTTGGGGTCTAGGCTACTAGTAGGTTGACATGGTGTACTCCTTCAACTACATTCAAAAGGGAACTTGAGTTATTCAGTGGTTTAGTTGTTTTCTAGTTTGTAATTATGTGTTATGGTCGTAGCCGACACCCTTTTCTAGTAGCCGGTTGAGGCCAACGAGGCAGCGATTTCAACTAATGGTCTCTCTTTTCTCTTGGAACTGTTATTTTAGGATAATATATTGGCTCGAATTCTAGTTTTCTCATCAGACTTGTATGATATTGAAAATTTCTCAACCGTCTAGACCGCATTCCTACCGCTTAACCCGTCTACACGTGAAAATGTAAATTGTTGATACATGTTGGAAAGTGTGATATAGATAAAAAATAAATTAAATATAAAAACAAAAGAAGAAATAGTCAATAAATAATTATTTAAAAACAAAAAAAATAAAGATAGCATGTGGTGCAACAGTAAAATAAAGATTTTAAAACAAAAAAAAAAAAGAAAAAAGAAAAGAACACACAAAAAAAAGGGAGCAAATGGCCGTTCAATGGAGTGAACGGATAGAAGGAGGCCCACACTTAAATGAAATGCCACAATGCAGAAATATGCCAAGTTGGCATTTAAACTAACTTGAACGGGCATTGAACGCCCGCCATGCGGGTGCCCTAACAACTAATCATACAATCTTTTCAAAATTAATCAAACCAAACAAAAAAAATCCAAACAAACCCAAAAAAGAATTGAAGATGATTAACGCCTATCCTAGGCGTTAAACCTAATTTTTGGGACTTTTGCAGATTAAGAATAAGATCAAGATGTTTATTTGGAAATGCTGGCGTAACTATTTGGCTACATAGGAAAATCTGGTAAAGAAAGGGATGACGGTGGATTTGATATGTAGGCAATGTGGAGAACAAACAGAAACCCTGGAACATATTCTTTTCACTTGCCACGGAGCGGAGAAAGTTTGGAAACTGTCTGGGTTAAGCTGGGATGGACTGAGAGATAAGAAAGTAGATTTTAGGAGCTGGTGGAGTGCTTTGTGTTTAATGGAGACAGGGAGATACAAGAAGGACAAAATTGAGCTTACCACTTATTTACTCTGGTGGTTATGGCGGACTAGAAATAACTGGTTATTTAAGCAAGAATGGAAAACTGAGAGGGAAGTGGCTGAGAGAGCAGTAAGTGAATGAAGAGAGTATGCCAATATCAAGAACATGGAAGACCTGGATAGAGGCTGATTATGGTTCTCACATGTGGATGGTATTAGTGAAGGTAGGGTAGTTTATTTCTACTGATTATGGGTGTCACATGTGGATGATATTAGTGAAGGTAGGGTAGTTTATTTCTACCAGTGCTGAAGCCATTATCACTCCCCGGGGGCAACATAATTAGTCATTACATTTGTGAAGCCTGAGGTTGTGGTATGCTCAAAGGTGGTGTGCTGAGTCTGCTTTGTAATTAGTAGTGGGGAGTGTTTTGAGTCGTTGTTCTTTTCTTTTCCTCTTTGGTTGTGTAGTCTTGGTTTAGCTTTTCTGGGTTGTATGAGTGCTTTTGTTCTTTGGGTACGGATATTCTGGGAGTCTCCCAGATTTTCCCTAGCTTTGTTGGTTCCCTTGTTCTTTGGGGTGTTGTTTGTATTATATTTGTATGAACTCTGTATATTTTGGTTATGTTTATAATATTTATCCGTTTGAGAAAAAAAAACAACCTAATTTTAGAACTATGCGTGATTATTAATCGGGCCCAGCCTAGCTAACAAATTCAATCGTGATACTATTTTAGAAGCCCAGACCCAACCTTTCTGCTATTTCATTGGTTCGGCCCATTTAGGATAACGAGCCCGGTTAATAATCTGTAGCCTCCTTGAATTTTGAAGATTCTAAAACCTTTTAGCTTAACCTCATTATTTCGATCTCAACGAACGCAGTTTTCGAAAGTCACAAAAAAAAAAGAAAAAAGAAAAAAAAAAAGGAAAGAGAGAGAAGAAGCCTAACAAGGAAAAATGGGGGGAAATGCCCCAATTATATGCATTAATCACGCTCCCAAAACCAGAGCCCGCCATTAGAAGTGAGGTGCAGCTGCTTTTTGAGCTGTTACGCTGTAGGGTTTCAGCTGGTTAGCTCGAAGAACACAGGCTCAGCTTCTAATGAGCGACTCTAGAGAAGAATCTCCTGATTGGCTGCGCTCTTTTCAGGCACTTGTTTTCATTTGTTTCGTTTAATCTCATGATTTCTGCAGATTTTACCAGAAACAATCGATTTGAAAATATCGTGTTTGCATACAAGTGCAATTTCTTCATTCTCTCTTGTACTGTACCTAGGTGTGTGTGTGGGCGTGGATGATTGTGTGGATCGTTTGTGCTGTATGTGTTTCTTCTGAATTGTACTAGATGTGTTTGCTATCTTCATCGGAATATAAAGTAATTTCATTATGCAGTGTGAATTTGGAAGTCTGCAACCGAAATTGAGCATTCATTTGTAGCAATGATATTTTTCTGAACTCTAACGATAATTATGCAATGCCACGGCAGAGCTGTGGGTTTTGTTTGCAGTTGCACTATGTTACAATGTTAGTCTGAATTTTATAAGTTGCCTGTCTGATGAATTTTGATTATCTGTTTTTAATTGTTCTCAGCCGCCTACTCAATCTACTATAGAATTGTCATCTGAGTCGGAGTTGCCATCAGACCACAGTCCGCCTAGTGATGATGAGGATTCTATAAACCTCAGTAAACTGTTTAAGAAAGGAGCAAAATGGGCATCAGATATTAAGGATGACGATGATGGAAGAGAGTCTAATGATACGAAGCCTGGCAAAGGGAAGTCTCCCAAGAAAAATGATAAAGTAAAGCGAACACCTGAGAAGAAGAGGAAGATCGAGGATGATAGCAAGAGAGATGGTAGTTCTGCTATATTTTGGAAACATATCATTCTTTGGTGCATTTTGATTTTCGTTTTACTTTGTGTAGAGTCTAAAAAGATGAACGGCTGATTCAAGAGTAGTTCCCGACAGCAGTTAATCCATTGAATTATGCAGGAAAGAGGGTCAAAGGGAAAGGCAGCAGCAGGAGAAATACACCCGACGAACATGGAAATTCCGATGTAAGGAGCTTCGTCTCACTTTCTAAGGATAATTTGCAATTTTTTTCAAATGTGATATCTGTAGATAAATCAGCTTATGGTAGAAAAATGAATTGAGTTTTGGAGAGATACTTAATATGGGTTTTGAATCTCATCTACATTTAATGTCGATATGTGCACTCAAAAGTCAAAACATTATATTACATCTAGAGCCCAACGTCTACATAAACTTGAATCTCAACGCTCCCCTTCTATGTGATGTCATGATTAAGGTCAAATCATGCCAGTGTAACAAATTACACACATGTGCTCTGTTGTTGTTCGCATTTTTTAGTTTCTTCCTGCAATACTTCAGACTTGTCGTTTTAGGTAATGTAGTCCCATAATGACTTTGTCTGAAAAACTTCAGTATTGTGACAAGGACTAACACCTGCTGCAAATATACTTTTCTTAAATTTTAGCAGAAACATTCCATTTGGTCATTGTCCTCTGATTCCGAGTCTACTCCAAATGCACGACCTGCTAAAGAGGATAAAGCCACTAAGAGAGAAATATCTCCAGATGAAGATCTTATTGTGGAAAACAAAAAGGAATCTGATAATTCTTCCCTTGTCCATGTTAAGAAATCTACTAAGGCTCAGGCCTCAAAGGTGAAATCGCCCACAAAACAGCTGGAAAAATTGGATGAGAAAACTCCAAATATGAAGAATATAAACAGTAGTGTAAAAGATGGTGAGGAGCCTATATATAGGTCCTGTTAATTTTTATAGTACATCTCTGTGTAGCGATGAAACTACTTATGCTGCATCTATAGGGTGGTAGACCATGTTGATCCTCCATCTAACTTTTCTTTTTTTTTTTCTTTTCTTTTCCTCATAAATCAGAGAATGATACTAAGGCTAATTTTGTGAAGGAAGGTAACAGCGGGAAGCATCCTATGCATCAGGCAAGAAGCTTTAGTAGCCAATGGAAATTTATGATTATCTTGATCAAGTTAAATATGGTTTATCTGCAAATGCAGGGTTCCTCTACAATGTTGCCATTGGTGCTCTCAGATAAAGTTCAACGTTCAAAGGTTAGCTAATTGTGCCTCATTAACATGATAGAGTATGTTGTAATTTCCTTCTTTTCCAAAACTTTATGATGTTATTTGAAGTAATTCATGACCTTGAATCCATATAGTTGTGGTTAACACTAAATATATCCATTTATAGTGTTTTATTAACATATGGCATTTGAAGTAAATAATTGTAACCACATACATATAAAATAACAGCAATGGAATGACATTCCTCAGATTTAAAATGTAAAGTCTCTATTCCTTGATAATCAAAGCCCAAAGATCTATGGATTATCCCATGCTTGACTAGCCAAGCAGTAATATGCATCAATGATTATTAAGTCACCATTTTCTTTTTTTATTCAACTCTCATTGCCTGCTTTAGTGCGTTGGGATCAATAGATGATACTATGTGAGCTGACTTCTTTCTTGCAGGCACTTGTTGAGTGTGAAGGTGATTCCATAGATTTGAGTGGTGACGTCGGTTCTGTTGGGCGGATAGTAATCTCGGAGGATCCTTCAAAAAACCTTGAGATGTTATTGGATTTAAAAGGTATGTGTATCTTCTCATTTTTCTGCTACTCTGTTTTGTTGAAGCTTTAAAATCTTTATGATTAATTGTTCTTGTAATGACAAGAATGCTAACCTCTTTAGTGTGCCATTAAAATATTAATTGTGAGCCTTTATTTTTGTTCCAGCTCTATAATGACATACTTCACTTTCATTCCCATTTGAGACTCGTATAGTAGGCCATTTAAGATTTAATTTGTGATTTACTGCTTTGCTATCTTACCAGTTCAGTTAAGTCGAAAAGGTTTGTATTCACTGAGAATCTGATCAAGATCACACCATTTCATTACAGGAACAATTTACAAAACAACCATAGTACCATCAAGGACATTCTGTGTGGTATTCCAATTTCCATCCATCCTGGACTCTTTTTCCTTATCTATCCCACTGAAACAGTGGTTTTGGGAATGAATATTCCTTTTATTTTTTCCTCTGTTT